TTTTTTTTATCGGGAGAGTCATCCCTTAGCAACAAACCCCAACAAGGTCCAACAGCGTATACCGAGACCGATCCATCACTGTCGCGCTCGCGATCAAGCTCACGAGAAGCTGTACCCATCGATGGTGAGTTTTCGAGAAGGACCATCAAAGTAACGAAATTCTAGCAACGACCATTTAAAAACCGAACCCGTTTCCGTTCTGGAGGAGTCGTTTGTTGATGCTGCTGCTGTTGCTGTTGGATGGCAGCCCGTTGCTGAGCGGCTGCTTGTGCCTGCGCATGGAACTGAAAGTAATACATCTGTTTTGAACTAATAAGGAGATACTGACATCTATCGATCCACGGAAATCGAAAATACATTCGACAAACATATGGCTATCCCAAATGGTGCCTAGCCCAGCGAAGCCAACAAAGCCTAAGACACCTAACAGTATGTTCCCCGCAATAAAGGGGAATAATATGTGTGACAATTACTAAGTCAGTGGTTGGTGCACANGCTGTTGGATGGCAGCCCGTTGCTGAGCGGCTGCTTGTGCCTGCGCATGGAACTGAAAGTAATACATCTGTTTTGAACTGATAGGGAAATATTGACATCTATCGACCGTTGGAAATCGAAAATACATTCGACAAACATACGGCTATCGGCATCTTTCATAGTCCACGACCGGTCGCCGGTGGGTCGCGACCAGTCGCGCGACCGGTCGTGGACTATGAAAGATGCCTCCCAAATGGTGCCTTTTGACCCACGTAGCCCAGCGAAGCCAACAAAGCCTAAGACACCTAACAGTATGTTCCTCGCGGTAAAGGGGTACGATATGTGTGACAATTACTAAGTCGGTGGTTGGTGCACAGTAAGGAGACCCCAAAAAACGAGAGGGACAGAAAGGCATAATGTCATAAGGCGGGGAACATCCTACGAAATGCTCCGCCGAGGGCTTCACCATACTATTCCTCCTCAAGCTGAATTCTACCTATCATCTGTATGTGGTTTAAGAAGACAACTGTCGAAATCAAAATTAAATACAGTACTTATTTCAGAACCTTTTATTCCTTGGGAATTGCCCCTTGTTGACCTGAAGACTATGAGGAGAATGGTGCTGATGACCAAACCGCGCTCGCATTACTGTCAAAGAGTACCATATCCACCTGAAGTCAGAACCCTCCCACTACATCGTATGCGCACCCAGGTCGGACAACTGGGCAATTTTTAGAGTTAATATAACGGTGGATGCCTTTTAGGATTCAGTACTGATGGCACCTCCTGACCTACAGCAGAGGCGGTTCAAAAATACTCAGCACTGAACCGCTTGAATAATAGGGAGCAAAATTTTGATGCTGGATTCTTTATTACTTAACTCAGAAAAAAAGCATTATTCATGCGACAGCCTTAAGAACTTCCCCCTCCCTTCGAGTTGAAGCAAAGTAAAAGAAAGATTACAAAATTTGTTACAATCTTCTTCACCCACTTATTAGGGCCACCTCGAAGAGGAGCCAAAAATACATCGTTGGTTTCTTACGCCCTTATAAGCGAGAAAAGCAACAGACGGTCGAACGGGGAAAGGTCGACCTGGTTTCGCTAAGCGACGGCAAGAACGCATCGAGAGCCTCCCCTTCTTGATTCTCTGCTACAGGGTTCACCTTATGGAACATCCAGGAACAGCATTCGTAGAGTTCACGATCGGAAAAATAACCAATTCCGATCAACCGGTACCAGAACTGTCGACGGAAACTGGTGTTGGGGACAATGTCATTAAAATAGCTGGATATTTCATCTTCAAATGTATTCTTCAGAGTTTTGAGACCAGTGAGACTGGATAACGTTTTGGATGGAACGATTCGAAGGTAGACAGACCATTGAATGCATTATTTTCACGCAAACGGAAACATGCTGACCTGTGCGACAGCCTGTTGAGCTTGAAGGAACTGCAGAAGAGCCGCGGCATCTGACATACCGAACAGCGGGTTCGCCATTGGCGGGAGTTCCTGAATAACAATGTTCAACAAACATGGAAATCTCTGAGTATTGGTTCAATAGATTCCTTCTTAAATTGTAACGTTCCTTATACGGGCTTTATTCAAGCTTCTTAACCTCCGAAACTGAAGGAAATAATAAAAGCTCCGTTGGTCATATTACCAGCTCCAGTAGCCTACTGCATAGGAGTGGAGGGGCATAAAAACTCCTCCCATCTAAGATTGAACGATTAATTCACAAACGATTTTTAGAGTTTCTTTCTTTTGGGTGAATTCATGGGAGAGAAAAACCAAAACCGTCCTCAATTGTGACCACTAAGCAATGATTGAATATATCAATCCCAAAGAGTTATAAGTTTCCAAAATTGAACTGAAATCGGAGTAGCGCCAGCACGTTGAAAGGCATGGCGCATCAATTGGAATATTTACCGAATTCTTGCATATCCAAGGAAACAGAGCCCATTTAAGCCAACTACAGACTGTATTGGCTCCAGAGAAAACATCGGAGCACTTCCAAAAGGAGAAGAAGTCACAGAGAAGAANGATACCTTAGTCTACATTCATAAATAATTGAGTAATTAAGTGATAAGACAATCAATCAAGGAAACAAATATATAATTGTTCACCGATTAGAACATTAAATGCTTCCCGCTAGTCATAAAGTCGGTTGCACATAGGAGTAGAACAGTTGGTAACAGCTGAAGACCGCAGAAGAAATGAAATGCTGGGAGGGATGGAGTAGCCTATCCTGTGTCTGACTGGTGTCCTGTCTTGTTAATAGAACCGTAACGAAGTTCTGCCGAAAATTCCTGTGACCCGAAGATAAGAACAAGAATATAAAAATTTAGAAAAAAAGAAACTTTAGGAAATAGGTAGGTATGGGAAAACAGAGAGAACTTTGGATAATTCAAAACTTCTAAAGCACTGGGCAGTGGCTTCTGCAGGAGTAAAGGAAATCAGTCAAGCAAAGGAGTCGCAGGGGAGAAGAACTCTTTATGTCTTATGGAAGACACCTTACTCTCCAGACTAACCATTGCGATGTTCAGCCGCCACTTTCCGAAGAAATTCCCTGACTATGTGAAGAAGACAGTGCGGAACGTGGGCATGGGCGTTAGGCGTTAATCGGTGGCTGCACTATTTATCAGTGACGAGAATGCAGATGAGACTTTTAGGGATGGAGGTTTATCGGAATGCCGTTCCGATAACGATGGAACTCGAAAAGCAGCTGCAATTTGTAAAGCTCAATTGGGCAAACCTATATGGTGGCCTTAAAGAATGCTGATGACCACTGAAGACGGAACTGGTGATTGCGAGGGGCCCGTGTATGTTCCCTGAAGTGGGGAATCAAGGGGGTGGATTTGCAAAGATCCTCTAGCAATTAAAAGGAACAAGGAAGATCGAATATAAGAAGCTTCTCGAACCTAAAATGGAAGTTCTCGTATAAGGGTTGAAAAGTAGTAATGCCAATAGGTTTTGCTTTTTGATTGAACCTTTTTATTCACGTTTACTTGCAAATTATAATTGTATTCACTCCTGATTCATTTCCTGTCAGCTTGTAGCAATCATCGTGAGTCAGACAATGCGAATTTTGATCAGTTTTGACCATGAGTCAGAAGCTTTGATCGGCATTAATCAGTTAACTTTGGAAACTTTTAGTGGGCGATTGATAATTGGCTTTTCGCTTTGTAGAACGTTGAATTTCTATAGTTTTTGTCAGAAAATATGAGCCTTTCTCTTCACCCTAATGATCTTAAAACATTACTCAAGCCCCTGCCTGCTCTCGAAGAATCAAAAGTTCGCCTCTCATTTCATACCGTTTTCTCCCAGATGATTTGTAAAGCTGCGTAGGTGTCAGGAATAAGCACCGCTGGAACCTATTTGTAAGTTAGCCCACGCCCGTAAGGGAGCCTCAGTTGAACTTGCTGAAATTTCACATTTCTATCGGTGAATGAGGAAGAGTTTTGACAAGATTATTCGAGGGAGTGGTGATCTGATGTCTGCACGACAACCGCTGCTCCTCCAGACCATTACCCTTCCCCATGCTGCATGGTCATTCATTCGTTTCGAANGGATGAAGTTGATTCGAAAAATAGGGTCATTTTATGGTTGGCTCTATCTATGAACTACTGAGCCTAATTGTTGCCGTTCTTTCTCGAAAATTCGAGCTGTGAGGACTTATCACGATAATGACTGATAGGTGCTATTTATAAACAAACAACTTAAAAGAACCCCTTGATCGGTACGTAAAAAGGGAAGTCTTGACTTTTGAAGGTCTGAAAGGGCTGACATCTATAAATGGCAAAAACAAAACATTCATTAGTAGCATGCCAACAGGCGAGCAACTTGAAAAATTTGAAGCCGAGAATTAATTTCCGTGGGGTTCAGTTAGAACAAAAATCATTCTATCATGCCAAATTGGTCTATTCTAAAGCGTCGCGGCCAATTCGAAAGTAACACGTGTCCCTAGTACTGGACTGGGAGGTGAATAATGAGGGATAACCCTTAAAACTTTTAGCTTCGTTGGGAAGGATCGCTCTTCTCATAACCAAGTTGGCCTCCCATAACTTTGAGAGCGCTCAGGATTGACAAGAAGCCATCAAACACCTTCAATGAAAACCTTCAGGTGCAGTCATGTCCCTAAGGATATCCACTCGTGGATAGAACACCGTATGCGCGCCACTGTTCAAAACTGGGTCGCGACCCGCCCAGTTTCAGGAAGGCGGTTACGAAGGCGCATCCTGGCCCATGATTTTTTGATAAAAGTGAAAATGGGTTCGCTTTTAATTTTGACATGCGTACCCCTTTAACCTTGTTGCTGCAAAAATTCATGGGTGGGACTCGGGTCAAACCCGATTATAGGATTCTGCACATGTTAGGGAAGCCTCTTCCCTTACATCCTGGCGACGAAGTTGTTATGAAATTAGTAGGAACCCACGATTTTCTGATGTCACAAATTCATATTTCACAACCTGCCACTGAGGAGTGGTCCTTACACGATTAGGCGAAGCAACTAGCAATTGAGCGGTGACCTAGTTTCGGCTCCTCCTGACCCTCACGCTAATACTCTGAGGCTTTGCCAGAGATGCCGAACATTTTAGAGTGGTTATTTAACTCCACAGACTAGCATCCAGAATCTAGAGTGGCAACGGAATTTTGCTTGCCAGCAACCCTCCCAAGGTGTTCTGTACCTCCATACAATTATGCTTACCATGTATAAAGTAATATGTAAGTCGGTGCAAGAAAGAGACCCTCGCAGGTTTCTATCAGTGTTAGAAATCATATTCTAGCCGCTGAGCTATCAAATCTAATGAGCCCACCGGTTTGACATCCGGAAACTCCTGTTTGACTGTCGCATTCTGTTGGCCGGCAAGTAAAATTGCGGCTAACTCTGTGGATGACAGTCCGGAGACGTCTGAACCAGAAGTGTTCGTCGGAGACGTACTGCACTCGAGCACATCCGAAGTCGGAGGAGCGGTACGTGCAAGGTTCGCCACAGCTCGAGGATTCGGCGGAACGACGGCGGGTGGTGTCGGCGCTGCTAGCCCGTTAACATTCGCTAGCATTTTCCTGAAATCATACCTAACTAACTGGGGATCGTTATGGTAATAGAACGACGAGTCATAGCGACTATAAATGAAGGCACGATCGAGAACAGAAAAGCAGGAACTAACATTTTCTAAGGAAGTGTGAAAGCAACAGAAAAAGAGAATGATTTGCTAGTGTTTAGAAATAGAACGAAATGAAATGGAAAAACACAGACACTACTAGAAATCCGGCATAACAACAGGCAAATTATCGTTTAGCCAGGCTGAGACGCGCGCGGTCGCGACGGTGACAGCATTGAATTAGGGCCACCGCCGCGTCCCTGCGCACTAGAACCTGATGGTAGAGTTGAGAAAACGGGATATAAATTAGGTTTTTCGCGCAATAGCAACATAGCTAATTACTCGGGAATTAGTTTCTCCTTTTTTTGTTGCACATTCAAAGGTCAACGCTTGAGTATTTGCAAAGCGTACGGCAAGCTTATGTTGGCACAAAGCCAGAGTGGGCACCCAGTTTGGGCACTTTTCACGCTCTGCAACATTGGTGTTCATAGATAGCTGTGAGCAAGTCTGAAACTGATAACTAAGCATAAGGAAATGCAAAGGAAAAGATCAAGAGCGTTCTGGTACCTATGTTGGGGATAGTTTGATTGGAGAGACCAAGAAAGAGTTCATAACGAGAACACAAGCCGCAACACCTTCAAAATTTGATATTTCCTCTTGACCCGTCACCTGACTCTATGGAATTTTCGCGTCATGGGAACCGTTTCGAGAAGCAGTGGGCGAGATACAGTGTTTAACTGATAGTTGATTAATATAATGATGCGGAGCTTGGGTAACGTTGGCCGTCTGCCAGAAACGTTTAGTGAAAGAAAAGTGGCAGAAGCACTGACCAATGCTCTATAGAATGAGCTGGCGTACGTTGCGGGCTTGGCGTGGGATTTAGGAGCGTTAGCCTAGTGAGGCGAAAGATGAGTTGAGGCGATAACGCTTGTAATGCGACGGCCGGTAAGGCGAGGAGGCTTATGCGGCTGCGCGAAGCCATACCTCTCTCGAGCTCATTGGGATTATGTCAGACCCCCTTCAATCGGCCCGCCATTCCCGCATACACGTCGGAGAAACTATTAGAAAGCAAGCATTAAGGCAATGCAAACATTGCTGAAACTCTGAGGTACATTCATAGGCTGAAGGTGGTGTTTGTTCTGATGGCTATACTTACCTTGCAGGTAGTTGGAGTACGGTCAGTGTTGTAAGTGTTGTGGCCAAGGTAGAAAGATCTGGTAACCAGTAGCGATGGAGAGCTATGGTCAGCATAGCGAAGGTATTTAATTCACCTCCGTAACAACACAGGTGAAGAGGTAGTAGCAGTGCAAGCGAAGTGATTTCCGTAGCCAAAAACTGAGTACCAGCGCTTGAACGGGCCAACCTTGGCCTATCACTACAGGAAAAAAAATCTAGAACGTGCTCCCGAACCCTAACGTAATTCGGCGATTCGTCGAATGCCTGATTATGACGCAGCACACCCTTGTGAAGAACCTATGTACCATTCCTGTGAACTCGTGCTTATATGCTCAGGTAATTTGTAGAAGGCTGCCCCAACCCATTCTCGTGGTAATATACCCAAATCGAACGGTACAGGTACCGGTACACGAGAATTGCGAATCGATAGCGAAGCGAGCAATCAATTCCGCCCACTTCGAGAAAAATAAGGCTTCTCAAAGGTACTGAAAATAGAGGTTGTACAAGACTACCATGACGGAAAGTGAGTGGGGGTTTTTGGGAGAGATTTTAATTATTGCAAGTCCAAAACTGATTTATACTGACGCAATGGGTCACGAATGAATGTTTGAATTTCCAAAATGGGTGACTTTGTGAACAGTGCAGTTCCTACAACACCGCCGAAACTCGTCCGCTCCTGGGCGGGCGTGGCATATGGCCGGTATACCCTTTGAGATTTTTTTAAGCAGTTTCCCGATCTGATATCGACACACTGGTACAGGGGAAGGCCACAGATTTTTCCTGTCGAGATAAAAGGAAAAAGAGGAAAATTAACGTCGTGGGGACCAAGTCATCATACAAAGAGTAACTACGTCTCACATTCTCCATTTGGTCTTCGATGCGACCAACGATTCACTTACAACTGCGCTGAAACGTGACCTGGAAGTTGTGGAACGTGAAACTTCGCAGGAATAAGGCAACAGAAAGACGGTGACTGAGTATAGCATGACAGTGGTAGATAAAATGAAGTACAAAAATATGGATACGTATTGGGAAACAGATGCAAATGGAGGAGCCTTATACAAGAAAGGAGATATTCAAATTGCTGAACGGATCGGCCTATTTCGCAACAGATTGGCAAGGTTCCCGGTACTCTGGCTTACTGTTACCAAGGGCATGGATGGTAAACAAGTGGTATTTAAATAGACCTCACTCTCACTAATAACATAGCCCACATCACTAGAAACTACTTCAAGATTGGTATTTCCGTGCTGTAGTAGTGGCAAGAAATCAAAGTGATTTTCTTTTCCTGTTCTATCTTGGTTCTTCCAAAAAGGATTGAAATGCTCTTGATGAAGGGATGATTCGATACATAATTTTACAGTTTTCTGCAATACTTACAATGAAGTATTTCAATAGAAGCCATTGTCGAGCCTAGGTTGCTTAATTCACAAAATTCAGGAAGAAATGGGAACAAATATTTTTTCTTTTCTGAATGGAGAAATCTTGGAGATAATAGAATTTCTTGGAGAAGTTGGGATTGGTCAGATTCAACTATCTCTCTGCACCTCAGCCCTTTTCACCACCTTATTACAGCTATTTTTATTCGAAAATGATGAAAAATAGGGCTGATTAACTTCCAGTCGATGTGGGACATTTGCTATAACCACTCACACAAGGTGACTATGGAGCAGTAACATTTCTCAAGTACATCTTGAGACTGTAGTAATATGAGAGAAAATCGAATTGGTAATGGTAAATGTGTACAAATAAGGCAAAAGATACCTCCTGCTGACAAATGCTACTCAATGATATTGGAAAGGTCCTTTCGCCACATGGTCACGCGCCTGTTTAGTCAGGGTTCCCAGAAACATTGTCAGCCTCGACTGATCAAACTGCACCACACCCCCTTGGAAGTTCATGGGTAGAATAGGAGCGCTCAGGCTCTCGATCAGTTTCTGGTACAGCAAGGACTGTGTCAGGAAGTCCGAAGTCCATCTTCAGCATGCATCCATATGAAGTGCAAGCAAAAATTCCTGATACGCTTACCACGAATTGAAGGCCCATACCTGCTCGTTCAAGAACGGGAGTCTCTCTAACTAACGGGAAGTTACTTAGGATTGCTGGCACACAGACTGGCACTGCCGCCTTGGATGATATCGCAGTCGTTAATCGTACAAGGGGGAATGAATGAAGATAAGCAGGCGCAGAACCGCTTAATCCTAATCTCAGTTAGGGTTCACAAGATTGGCAAGAAGCCCTGACGGCAGCCTGATAGGGTATGTTTCGGTTGACTGGTCAGCTGACATGGATCAAGCGCTGCCATAGACGGAAGCTCTGCGCTCAGATTAGCGGCTTATGCTGGATTTCTCTCGTCGTACGCTTAGAGCACGTGATTCTGCAAAATCCGAAAGGTTCCCCGAATAGAAATAATCAGTAAATGGCAACTTATCTAGTATTTTCTTTATTTCTGGCATGTTTCGCTTAGTAATTGATAGGAGAGCAGGAAGAACGTTCAGAAATGCTCGTTACCTAGGTTGCATGGCGCATTTTTGTGAGTCTACTCTATAATTGTACTTTTTTTTGACTCTATTGTATTCTGCACGGATGTCTGCAGATTCTTGCAGAAAATGATGGAAAATTACGAAATCAGCAACTCCGTCTGGTCTTATTCGTGGCGCGCTAGTCATCTTCGGGGAAGCGGAAGTGACAGGAATGGGGATTCCGTGAGATCCGTAAAAACTACAGAACTGCGGGTCAGCAGTAATCGCCTATGGACCGCCTATAGCAAAAAGTGCTCCTGATTGGCTGCTTTCACAGTCCACGATTTGGTCCGCGACCGGGGGCGGCGCTTGTCCCTTGTTTACAACTGAATCTTGGTCGATACCGCCGGACGAGTAGTCCCCCGTTCGCTCGCTCGTGGGCCAAATCGTCTACTATGAAAGCAGCCATCGACGGAGGATCTACCCCAAAATGCAGGACAGTCAATGTGAGGTCCTACGCGGAACTTCCGACTAAACCGATGTCTAGCTATCGTATATGCCCCCTTTCGACATGTGTTACGATGGTGCTCTCACAACTATGCAGGCTGTAGCTAATCACAACTCGGGAAAGGGTTGGCTCCCTTCCGCAGGACAGCGCAGCGTCCAGACTTTGCGTAGGGGTACTGCTAGCGTCGCCTCAACCAATTTACCGGGGCAAGGCCTATGGGCGTCAGATGTAGCGCAAAGTCTGAATATAGCCCTTGAAGCTGGGTGAGGAAAGGATACTCAAGGAGGTTCAACTGCAATGTTTCGCCTTTAAACGCTTTGGTGGACTGTCAGAAAGCCAGTGCATCGGCACCTATGTGACATTTTGGCCCATTGAACCACTGTACCGTTCCTTTCAAAGCTCTTTACTGGCCCAGACTGAAAAAGAAGAAAAACCTTAGGCGTTAAACGATCCCATCTGAAGGTTGCACCCCCTTCCATTCAGAATCGTAGTGCGTATTGAATGCGTATATGGTCCATACAATGACTTGCGGTAGCCAGCTGATGCACATGTCAGTGCTCTTTTCATGTTCCTATACCTGGTACCAGTTAATCGACCTTGAAGGGAGCTAAGTCATAGTTGCCCTGGGTGAATATCGAGCCTGGGTCGAACCCGCGACCATGTATGTGTGGTAGGTAGTACATTGGTGCGCCATTTGCCACTACACTACTTCCGCCGGCATAGTGGGTAATAGTGTAAAAATAGCTTTCCTGTGTCGGAGAAACTGTCAGGGATCAGTTTGAATCGACCCATAGGCCCAGGTACGCATCTGA